TCAATGTGAATTACTATTTCAGCTTCAAGCTAAACTGCAAATACCAAAAAAAGATATATATATATATATATATACATATATATAGACTGTCAGACAGGCGACGACGTTGGCCCCAAAGCAACGTCCTATGTGGCCGTGTCGTGGCATAGGCCAGGCCAAGCCCCACCGCTCGCGGCCTGTACCGCACCGTCCTGGCCCAAGCGTTCTGCACAAAATGGAAAAGTTCCCAACAGTTGGGGGCCCATAACTTGCATATCGGGTCAGCCAGGGAGCGGAAAGGGGCGGGACGGGACGGGATGGGACGGGAAGCGACGAGTCGCCGAGTTTCGGAGACAGCTAGCGATAAGTATTCAATTCCTGACGGCCGTCAAATAATTTGTACTTTGGCCAGCTTTCGGCAGCGTCTCAGATCTGTAATATGCCAGAGATCGGCAGCCATTCGCTACCCTATAGCAGCCATCGGGCGAGCAGCCATGATTTATAATGCCAGCGCTATCATTAGCTATAGTAGTACATACACATATATGCTGCAGTATCTGCTTTGCATTTCAGCTCAGCCCGAAACGAGTTTCATTACGAACGCTCAAATCTAAACTAATTTCGCGTTCGTATTATGACATTTGGCATCAAGAAGACAATCTGTCATTTCAGCCGAGAGAGAGAGAGAGAGAGAGAGAGAGAGATAGAGAAATATATATATATATATATAAATGTGATCGACTTGATTGCCAGTCTTTGTAGATATGTACCGACATATATCTATGTGTATATGTTTGTACTTTTAATATATTCCAATTTGGCATTCCTAAAACATTTTAGTTTAGTAATACGAGCTAAATTTGATTTGACTTGAAAATAAAACTGATAAAAAAAACACAAATTTGGTAAAGCAACCAAAATACCTAAATCTAAACTTAATTTGGTTTTTAACTCAGCAATTTTAATTTAGTTGTATTTATTTATTTTTTAAAATCTTAAATTATTACTTTTACAAAATCTATTCTATTTCTCAATGTTATACAATTTTTAAAATGTATTATGTAGTATATGATTTAATAAAATTATTGTTATATAATTTTAGTAGTATTATTTTTATTTTTATTATGTAACACATTATTAGTTTTGTAATTTAATTTTTGAAATCTCATTTTTAATTTTTAATTTACTTTAATATTTTTTATTATTCTTTCTTTCTTTCATTTCATATCTCAATTTGAAATTCATTTTTAAATGTTGACATATTTTATATATTTAATACTTTGCTACATATTTTTATATCCTGAACGAATTGAAAATAGGAAATCTGGGAAATCTAATTGTTTGAATTTTTAAAAATGTTTTTTGTTATTTTAAATGTTGACATTTCTAATTGATTTCATTTGCTAATAGTTTTCATTGAATTAATTTTTTTATTTATTTTTTTTTTTTATTATTTTATGATTTGAGGACTCGGATTAAAAACAGAATTTTCTTTGCTTGGAAGTACGAAAATTGCCTTCTGATGGCTAAGAAACGACTCGCTATTTATCAGATTCGATTTATATATTTAATATACAATTTGTTGTCTTTAATATAATCATATATTTGTTTTATATAAATACACAATTTTAATTTCATATAATTATTGTGCATAGGCATCTAATTACAAATGAAATATAGAAAAAAGAAAAGTGGAGTAGAAAAGAAAAGCTATATTCAATAGCTATAAATATTATGAGTGGCATTCCAAATTCTTCTTCTTCCATGTCGACTGTGCAAAGCTGTGATTCCTTTGGAGGCAGCTGGACTCTTTGCAGCTAGATGAAAGGCACATCAAAGTGAGATTTAGACTGGAAGCGGCATCAACTATTTTGAGGTGACTTCAATCTTTTCATCTCAATGTCAACAGGGCAATTAATTCGATTTGATTGACATTTGACTGCGATCGTTCCGGGAACAATTAAGGCAGCGACTTTGGCGCACAATTTGTTCTCGCGAATTCCCAGAACTTTGCCCTAGCCGTGGCTATTTGTCGCGTGTCCGTTCAGCTACTTTAGGGCTGCTGCATAATTTACGCCGTTTGGCACTTTATACAGATATCCACATGTGCATGCAGATGTATCGCAGTTAGCCTGCAGATAATTCAGTTCGAAGGGCATTTAAGCACTCGACTTTTTGCTGTTTGTCCAACTAACTGCCCACAAATTGTGGCGGCCACCCAGTGGGCTGCTCTCCTCTCTTTCCTCTTGCTGTTGCGTTACTTTTTGTTTTCTTATGCATCTCAACGGCTCATTATGCTTCATAATTTATAGCTGCTTGCCACACCTATTTGGGGCGGTGGCGGCGGTGACAGAATGCATAGCCAAACATGAAATGCGCAATTCTTGAGGCTAAACGCAGCAGCCGGCTGCCGGCTACGCTTTTTGCCCAATAAATCAAAGGGGCTGAGCAAAAAATGGCCATAGAATCGACTTAAGACTGACAACTTTTTGTCTATTCAAGAATAGTTGCTGCCGTCGATGTTGCTGCCGTTCATGTTGCTGCTGCTGTTGCTGCTGCTGCTGCTGCTGTTGGCGCGGCTCGTAAACTGACTTGAGCAACTGTTGACCGTAAAAATGATGAAGAAAATGGCGCATAAAAAATGTTGACGTACTTGGAACTGCGCTAACGTTGACCAGAAGATCAGGCGAAGGTGGCAGCAACAGCAGCAGCCACAGCAGCAGCAGCAGCAGCAGCAATTGCTATTGCAACAGCAGCAACAGCAAATATTGTTGCCTGTGGCAGCTTGAGGCTTCCAGGCAGTTAGTCAGCCAGCTAGGCTCCACATGATGATGATGATGATGATGATGATCGTCATCATCAACTCGGAACAGTCATAAATGTTGATGAACAGCAGGCGAACTTTGTTATAGGCGTTGCTGCGCTTTTGTTGCCGCTGCCGCTGCTGCTGTTGCTGCTGCTGCTGTGCAACGGCAACAACAAAATTGAAAAGATGCAACCACAAGATACAACAGAACGAACAAGAAGAAGCAGAGGCAAAAAGGTTGCAAATGTTTTATGGCTCTTTGGGCCGTGCGCTTTGTTCTATGTGTGTGCCCCATCTCTGTGGCCCGTTGCGTCGCATCTCAGTGCCGTTGACAGCTTTGACTTTTGACTTCTGTTGCCCCCCTTTTTGAGGCACGCCTAGCACTCCCGTCGCACACTCGGTGCAGCGGCTGTCCGAGCGAGCCGAGCAATTTATGAGTCGTCAGTTGGCAGTTGCCAAGTTGCCAAGTTGCCAAGTTGCAACCAGCAGCAGCTACAGCAGCAGCAGCAGCAGCAGCAGCAAGTTGCCAGCTGCAAGTCGGCAGTTTTATGGGCCGCTTTGAGTCCCATTTGGTGAAGTGCATGCACAAATCAGCAGGTTTACAAATTTGTTGACGCGATTTGTTGGCCACTTGGACAAAGAGAACAAAAAATAACAGAAGCGACAGCAGCAGCAGCAGCAACAGCAGCAGCAGCAACAGCAACAGCAAATGCTGTCAACTGGGTAACAAAATGCAAAGTTTTGGGCTGACATTAAACAGTCAGCAAAAGTGAAAATTTGACATGAGAGCAAATGAAATAAAACAAAGGCAAAACAGTCAAACAAACTACAACAAACAACAACCAACAAACAACCAGCAAGCAGCAACAACAACCAGCAGTGGCAACAACAAGAAAACTTTTTGACAAGTCGCAGCAAACTTTTTAGCCCGCCGCACACAAAAAACTTGTGCAAAGGCGCACAAAATGGGCGCAAACCAGGAACAAGAAGAAGTAGTGGAAGAATCAGAAGGAGCAGAGGGAGAGGGGGAAGAGGTAGGCAGCAGCAGCAACAACAACAACAACAGCAACAGTAGTTAGAAGAGTCCAGTATTGGGTTTGGGGTTGGTGTGATACCCGACCCTGCAGCAAGTTCAAAAGTGCAAAACTTTGCTTCATGCTTAACCCAAAGCCGACGAGAGAAACTTTTCCTGTCCAGCCAAATCACAATCTTAACCCATGTGCGGCCCCCTCGCCCCCTCGCCCCCTCGCCCACTCCACATAGTTAATGCTCGTGAAGCAACAATTTGTAAACGCGAAATTTCTACAAATTCAAAAATGAAACAAAAAATTTAAGCACAAATCCCTAATGCAAAACAAACTTAATTTCGAGAACTTATTATTTATGTTTAACTAAATGAAACGACATACAAAGAATTTTTTAGTTATATGTATACAAAATTCTAAGTAAACTATATATTCTCTACTTTAAAATACAACATTTAGATTTGTAAGTCTTTAGATATTCGAACACGAAATCCTATAGTACTATAGATCCATAGTACATTGTGGCAAGAATGATATATTTTATTATATATTTTTTTTTTAATATCTTTATATTTTTAAATTATTTTTATTTTTATTTATATACGATAAACCAAATTTTTGCCTAAACTGAAATATATATAAGATACATTATATATATTATTAGACTCCTCTATAAAGAACGTAAATTGAATTGAAGTCCCACTCGATTAGCTTATCACAATCAAAATTTGCGAAAAATTTTTATAGAGAAATTGAATCGTTGCTAGATATTTTCTTAATATAAGAAAGCTTAAGGAACTTGAAAATTGAGATTAAATATTTAGAGAATATTTAACTCAATACACAGCTAGATAATTGGCTAAATGTATCCTAGGTATCCTAAATCTTTGCTGATCTTTTGGTAGAGCTCGATCAGCTCTTGGATCTCTCTATTTGCTCAGCCTTTATATAATCCCGATTGTATGAGTAGAGATCATTTTATTTTCATTATGGATCACTGATCGACAATTACTCAAAAACTCTGAATATCATTCTGGCTATGAACAAACTTTTTAGTCAGCTTTGCTGCAGATCTTTTTGGCAAGTTCATTGCGCATGCGTTTGGGTAATTGGGGCATTTGAAGCCTTGGGGCGCCTCATTTGAGATTACGCCCTTAGGATCAAGGTCTGATCGGATCTGTGTTACTTACCTATGTTGTGCTGATTTGTGTGGAGGACCGCACCAAATGCCATTAGATCCTTGACGGGTGGTGCTCGGCTACCGAGGGCGGCAAAACCGTCGCCCAGAAATGACGCCAGCGCGACAGCCCTGAGGGGCGCTTTGGATGCCTCGGTGAGAATTTTGTTATCGAATATATCGAGGCTGGGGGGCGAGATGATAATGGTCACGCTGATAATGACACGCACACACACGCACTGACGCGACGAACGCGCACACACACTCACACACGGGGCTGAGCGTAAATGCGGATGCGGGCGCGACCAGTGGAGACAGAGAGAGAGAGAGAGGTGGATACCAAAGGACAGAGCGATAAAGAGAGAGGGAGAGTGTGTGGGAGAGAGCGCGCGAGATGTGTGGAGCACGTGTGTGTTTGTTGTTGTGTTGTGTTTAATGCCGGCGGCAAAACACGCGACAGCTGGCAGCTGATATTTATTTGTTGTTGTTGTTGTTGTTGTCGTTGTTTTGATTTGTGTATGTTGTTAAACTTCTTCTTCTTGTTGTTGTTGTAGTTGATGTTGTTGTTGTAATCCACTTGGCACTTTCTTTTGCAGGCGAAGCTTTTTCTTGTTGTTGTTGTTGTATTCCTTGGCAAGTAACTCACTTGAAAAAAACTTGGGCAACAAATTCTTGTGTGCTCGAAAAAAAATCGAATCGCATCGAAACGCAACGCGACGCTTGGTAGGGACGCGCAACGCGACGGGGCAGCAGTTGGGGCAGCGAAACAAGAAGAAGAGAGAGTGCCAGAGAACAGCTGTTTAACAAATTTGGCTTCTTGTTGTTGTTGTTGTTGTTGCTGTTGTGTTCGGTTGCACGGCTTTTTGTTGATTATTTTGTTGATGTTTTCGTTTTATTTATTTATTTATTTATTTTGTTCTTTTTGGCAACGTCTTGCGAAAGAACGGCAGAGGCAACGATAACGGCAACGACAACGGCCACGGTAATGGTAATGGCAATGGCAACGTCAACGGTAACGGTAACGGTACGTATCGATGTCGATTACGATAACGGGCCGCAACATGCGAGCGCACCACGCGAACGTCAAACAAAAACTGAAAACGGCGACGGCAACAACGGGCAGCAATAGCAACGAGGCGAACAGACCGAGAACTCGCTGCGTCGACAGCGACGGCGGCGACGACGACGACGACGACGACGGCGGCGGCAGAGCGAGCGCGAGCGAATGGCAATGCGAAGGCGAAACACAGCCAAACACAAACTGAACCGGTACCCGAGCCCGATACCTGATGCTGCTGCTGTTGCTGCCGTTGCTGTTGCTCGCGTCTGTCCTACCCCTTCTGAGTGCGGCTCGTGTACGAATCGCATGCGCGCTCACTCACACAGACGCACGCACACACACGCGGCCTGCTCAATGGCAAACAATTTCCCCTGCGCATGCAGCTGCCTGCGCCAGAGCGAGACAACTAGCTGGTACGCAGTATTGCTGCAAAAATAGCAATGGAGTCTGTTGCTGACATTTGTCGCAGTCATCGGCATCGGCTGCGGCGACAGTTGCTGTTGCTGTTGCTGCTGTGCTGTTGCTGCTGTTGCTGGTGTGCTGCTGTGCTGTTGCCGTTGCCGTTGCCGTTGCTGCTGCTGCTGCTGCTGCTGTCGACGTCGTCGTTTGCGGTTAGAAGGGGGCGTTGCTAAGCAACTGGTTTCGGTTTCGGTTTCATGGCAGAGGCGTTCGCATATCGCCGCCGTTGCTGCTGTCGCTGTCGCTGTCGCAGCTGCTGCGCATCCTCTCTGCCAGGCATTCGATTGTTGTTGTTGTCACTGTTGCCGCTGCCGTTGCCGTTGCCGTTGCTGGTTGGGGCAGAAAGTTTGTCGAACCAATGGCATTTTTCAATGTGACATTTGGCGCTTTTGCTCTTGTTGTTACAGTCACGTTCACGTTTCTGTCTCTCTGTCTGTGCACATGTGTGTGCCTGTGCGTGCAAGTGTGAGTGTGTGCTTGTTGTCTCTGTGTGTGCGTATGCCTGTGTGTGAGTTGTTGCCTTGCCAAGGTAAAATGTCAAATGCTTTTGGACTGTCAACTGTTGGTCGCAACTTTTCTTACTTGTTTGTGTATGTGTGTGTGTGTTAGTTTTTTTTTTTTTTTTTCTTTTTGTTCTTTTGCATTTCTACTTTTGCTCTGTGCTTGCGCTAACTTTGCATTGGCAAGACGAAGCCGTAGCTTCTTAAAGCCCAAGTTTAAGCAACAGCAACAACAACAGCAACAACAAGAACAACAATTACAACAGCAGGCTCTGCTGCCACCGCCAGAGTCTTGTCGTTAGCGTTGTCAAAGCCAGGAGCAGCAGAAAAGCAGAAAAATTCAACGCCCCTTTGGCGTTTTAACGCATTGGAGCACAAAAAAAAAAAAAGAATTGGAAAAAAAAGAAAACACAACACAGGCGTATATATGTATGTATATAGAAGTGTGTCTTTGTGTGTGTGCGTGTATATTTGGTATTCCGGCAGCGTTCGCAGTTCGCATTCAACGTGACATGGTAATAAGCCAAAGATCAAGCGCAATAAAAAATGGGCAAAAAAAAAAAAAAAAAAGGAAAATAAAGCAACAAAAATAAAACCTTAAAAAAATTCACGAAAAACTGCAAAAAAAATGCCAAACTTCAAATAGGGAAAGAAGAAGCAGCAGCAGCTGCTTGACACTCCCGAGGAGAGCGAGAGTGAGTGTGCGAGCGAGCCGGCACTAGTGCGACTGAGAGTGAGTGAGCGAGTGAATGAGCTTTGTTGTTGGCCAGTGGGTGGCGCCCGCTATCTTTCGCTGTATGTGTGTGTGTGTGTGAGTGTGAGTGTGTTTGCGTGCGTGTGAACGCCATTGTCGTTTGGTGCTGCTGTCGCTGCTGCTGCTGCTGCTGCTGCTACAGTTGCGGGACGCAGAGCGAAGCGCTGCCTGCCTGACTGAGTGGCGCTTGGCGGCTGCCGCTGAAGCCTGATGCTGATGCTGATGTTGCCGCTGATGCGAGTGCTGCTGCTGCTGCTGCTGCTGCTGGCAACGCAGTCGCGCCTTCGCCTTCGACAGCTGGGGCATGTTGAGTGGGTGGGGATGGAACGTGAGCGGAAGCGGGAGCGACTTTGCCAGCCTTCTGTATTTCCTTTTTATACATTTGCTTTGTGTGTTTGCGTATATCTGTCTGTGTGTCTGAGAGTGTGTGTGTGTGTGTGTGAGTCAAAAATATTGCACATTAGGGTGTTAAGCTGTGAAGTGCTTGGCTGCCTCTACTTGTCCTGGTCCTGCGCCACATTGAGCACGTCTGTCTGCCATTCAGCGTATGTGTTTGTTTCTCACTGTGTACATGCGTGTGTGTGTGTGTGTGTGTGTGTGTGTATTGGCGCTTTAGTGTTTAGACCGCGCGCGCTCATTTGTCTGATGTTTCACTTGTCAATGTCCTTGCCCGTTGCAGTTGGCCGACTTACTCGCGTACCGCCCGCCCCTCCCTGCCCACACTGCCGCCCACTCACGATACACGCAACGCGTGTCACGAATCCTGCGCCTGTCAGCTGTTGCCATTTAATGCTAAATTGTTGTTGCTGTTGCTCCTGTTGATGTTGCCATTGTTGTTGTTGTTGCTGTTAAGCAATTCGCTATATTCGAAAGTGTTATCGAGGCGCGATTAGAGATATTAGTGTAACTTAAGTTATTGGCTAATGCCTAAGCTTTGCCTTTTCTAAAAATCTATCGCTGGTATAACAAGCTGTATTCCATTCTCAATCGAACTCGGAGATACCCGGAAGTTAGTGCTAAGCTGATTTGAAACACTTCCTGGAGCATGGAGCAGGGCGACCGAAATACTCCCTATTACTAAATAACTTTGCAAAATATTTATACCAATTTTGATCAACACAACTCGGAAAGTATTTGAGATATACTCTTATACACTTTAAGAAGAAGAAGAAGAAGAAGGACTTTTAAAAAAATCAAATTTATTGTTTTATTTATTTATTGTTATTTTTTTCTGATGCTTAAAAATAATTTGCACATTTGCCAAATTCAAAATATGGTGTAAATATGGATATCTTATAAATAAATTTAAATTTATATGAAAGTGGGGAAAATTCTCTATGATGCTACACCACCTTATGAACACCTGATATATAATAATATTTAAGTACTTAGATATCATTTCTACAGCTCTGGCTTGCTTTCTAAAGTTTCTGGCTTGCTCTCTATACGCTATAAATTTTAATCCCGCTTGCCACGCCCTCAGTAGCTACAGACATGTGAGTGAGTACAAAACCTAGATTGACTCCTGGCTTGACTCTTGATTCTTATCAAGAATATATCATCGTTATGAGGTACTCGCTTTCTTATTCATATTTAAGAAATCCAATTAAGAAATTTGTAAATTTACTTTTATAAATTTGGATCAAGAGCCGGCAACGCCACTCAACGACTGAATACCTAGAAAGCATTCAACAGAGGAATTCCCGCTTCGACTAGCAGCACAACTGTTCAAACACGAAAACACAGTTAAGTTTGTTAAAATAACTAATAAAATAAAAAAAAAAAATAAAAAGAAATAAATAAATAAATATTTAACCCAAATTTAGGTGTCGAATGAAAGTCAATTATAGAGGTGAGCACTCTCTTTATATGATGTGAGTTGTCTGACGCACATCCCCCGTTCGCCTCTTTAGCTCAGTGGCAGAGCACTGGTCTTGTAAACCAGGGGTCGTGAGTTCAATCCTCACAGGGGGCAATCTTTTTAAAAGTTCTGATAAATGTTTATTAATTTTTTACTTTTATATTAACAGCTAAACTAACAAAAATATTTCGATTTTCTTAAAATGACGCAATTGATTATTAATATATTCAACACTTTTAAGGTTGTATTTCACACACTAATGAAAACTTTTCATGATTAAAATAACTAATAATAAAAGTGGGGAAAATTTTCTCTATTATGCTACACCACATTATGAATACCTGATATATAAAAATAATGATAATAATAATAATAATAATAATAATAATAATAATAATAATAATAATATTTGAGTACTTAAATATAGTTTCTAAAGCTCTGGCTTGCTTTCTATACGCTATATATTTTAATCCCGCTTGCCACGCCCCCAGTAGCTATAGACATATGAGTGAGTACAAAAACTAGACTCGACTCTTGATTCTTATCTCTTGATATATTCTTATATATCATCCTTATGAGATAATCGCTTTCTTATTCTTATATATTAGTAATCTAATCTTATATATTATATATTAGTAAACTAATCTAATTACGAAATTTATAAATTTACTTTGATAAATTTTTTTTTAGTTTGATAAATATCCATTTAAAATAGGAACTCAGAATATTCAGTTAAATTCAATTTTAAATATTACTGCAGATCTTAAGTTGTTGTGCCTAAGCACTCCAAAGTTTCTTCAGTTACATCCTGATCAATGATCAATGAGTCTCCTTCGTTAGCTATTTTAACTTGCAAACATAGTTTTTCTTTTAATCTTCTCAATTTATTGTATTTTTATTTTAATATTTCACTGACTTATTGACTTGGGGACGTTTGGCCATATATCATGATAAAAATGTTGCCCAGAGTCGAATAAATTTGGTATTTAAGCGCATTTGTTTGATTCCCATTGAGTTGAAGTGTCACAGGGATCAAATAATGATTCATATTTATTTGGCTTGCTTGTTGAACGAATCATAAATCCATCAAAATATTAATTACCAAACAAAAATATATTGGAAAACAAACATTGAATATCTTAACAATTTATCTACGAGTATTGTTTTTTTTTTTTTTTTTTTTTATTCACTTGCTTTTTCTACCATAGTTAAGCTCTGATATGTTGAGCTAACTGGCTTTATGTAACTGTAGAACAGTGCAAAGACTGCAGCTCCAGCTCCCCTCAGCACTTGTCTCTGGGTTTTCTGTGAGCCGAGCTCTAATCTGAGCAAACTTGGGCGCAGCTGCTCCAGTTCCGCGTATCGGGCTGGCAATCTGTTTGCTGCACATTCAAATGGTTTGGCTAGCGGAATATTAGTTTTGGTGGTGCTGGTGGTGCTCACCTTGCGGCGCCATTTGTTGTAGCCGTGGCGGACGGACGCCAAACAAATGTCAGTTATCAAAAATCGCTGGAGCAGACGAAAACGAGTAGCAAGAAAATGTTGGCCAACTGCTTGATATGGCCAGCAACAGCAACAGCGTCAGCGACAGCACCACGCCCACTGTAAACGGCAC